ACAGCAGGCCAAGCAGCATCATAGGAGCAGAGAGGCTGACGTTTCGGAAGGGTCTAGGCCCGAAACGTCAGCCTCTCTGCTCCTATGATGCTGCTTGGCCTGCTGTGTTCATCCAGCCCTGCACCTTGTTGTCTCGGATTCTCCAGCATCTGCAGTTCCTACTATCTCTGGTTCAAACATTGCCTTCTGTTACTGTCACTCAGCTCATGTAATCAAATGCTAATACTCTTCTCTCCTTTACCTTTCAGCACTCCTTACCTGAATACACAATGTCAGGAGTCTCTTGTGTTCCTGCACAACTCATTCAAAAGCGAATAATGCGTGGAATGCAAGATTAAATCCCAACATTGTAGTTTGAAAATTTTGTTCAGTTTCAAAAATATCTGGAAACACAATAATCTGTTATCATTCAAAATATCCATAAAGCAAGATTGTTCCAAATTGCAAACTTTTTATTTTTTTTTAAAAGAAGTACTTTTGTTACTTTTTCATGTGATGTGAGCATCTCTGGCTAGATTAACATTTATTGTCTATCCTGAATTACCCTTGAGAATGAGGTGATGACTCACCTTCTTAAACCACAGCAGTCTGTGGCTGTGTAGGTATGACCACTGTGCTGCTAGGGAGCGAGTTCCAGGTTTTTGACTCAGTGACAATGAAGGAATAGAAATTTGGTTCCAAGTCAGGCAGTCGTGTGGCTTGGAGGGGTCCTTGCAAGCACATCTGCTGCCTGATCTCCCAAAGTCCTGTAGAGAAGTAAACCTGCTATTCTGAGTCAGCCTGGCTTTATGTTACTCTGGTCCTACACTAATGTTTTTGACTCTTAACTGCTATCTGATGTGCATTAGCAAGCCCCTGAATGAAAAGATCCCATCACTACCTTCTCAGGATAAGAACACGTTAAACGTATGTACCAAAATATTTACACAGAGAAAAGCTATGTGTTGACAGGGTGTTGACCGTAGGCACAAGACACTTGTGGGTCCTCCTCAAGTGTCCCTTCCAAATATGGGGCCCCAGGGAGACTGCAGTTTAAGCTGAGGATGAAAACACCTCTGACTTGGGAAAACATAGTATGTTCATTACAGTGTGGAGCTGGAGGAACACAGCAGGCCAGGCAGCATCAGAAGAGCTGGCAAGTTGATGTTTCAGGTCAGGATCCTTCTGAAGAAGGAATAGAAATTCTGAAGAAGGGTCCTGACCCGAAACGTCAACTTTCCTGCTCCTCTCATTCTGCCTGGCCTGCTGTGTTCCTCCAGCTCTTCACTGTGGTATCTCTGACTCCAGCATTGGCAGTTCTTACTATCTCTATGTTCATTACCTCTATGTTCATCTCCTGTTCTAATGGAGTTTAATTATTTCATTACACTCCTGAATTGTTCCTTGTAAATGGTGGACAGGCTTCGGGAAGTCAGGAGGTGGATTATTTGCCACAGAATTCCCACCCTCTGCAATGCTCTTGTAGGCACCAGATTTAAATGACTGGTTGAGTTTTTGGGCAATGGGAACTGCACCCCCAGCCCTGCCCAGAACATACACTCAAAGAATTAACGATCAGAGGGACCTTGTGCATAACCAGATTCCTGAAGATAGGAGGGCAAGTAGATATGGTGTTTAAGGTGGCATTTGGGATGTTTGCTGCTATTACAAGAGTGAGGAGGTTATACTAGAACTGCTGTCTCGGGATTAAGAAGGAAAAGGCAATTATAGTTTAAATTCACTCCTTCCCCTCTTTGCTCACAACGTTTTGTTTTGCTTTCCATGACTTTGGGACCTCCTGAACCAGACATTGTAGTCTCAATATATTGCTTTCCACAACCATTTTCGTCATTCTGCCTTCTCTGATTTTAATCATTTCCTCGAGAGACTCCGCTGTCACATATTTAAGCACAGAATCCTCCCTAAACCTCTCCACCTTGCTATCTTCCTTTCCTCCTTTAAGACACCCTTAAAAGCTACCTCTTTGTCCAAGCTTTTAGTCATCCATCATAATCAATCCAATCTTCACTCTTTAATTTCTTGCTCAACTGATGAGGTTGCACATTTGCCCTTTCAGCGTTGTTGTCTCTCAGTTATTGTTCTCCCTGAGACACAGAGACATAATCTAACTCACTGAATTCTAAGAAAAAAAACTCTGGGATTTTCCCAGCACTGTCTACTTGGACTGCTAAAATAGCCTAAGACTTCCTTCCAAACCTGATGACCTAGAAACTGCCAAAACCAAATTGCCCTTCTGCTGGTATGGATCCTTTCTCTCTGAACTAGACCTGTTTGTGGACATTCTCCAACTGTGTCTCTCTGGATCATAAATCTTACAGTAAATGCTTCAGCAATTATCTCACCAGGTGGCTTATGTGGGCATTTAGTTTACATGCCATGATTTGATGAAAATGTTGCTTTGACCCAATGCTAAAAAAAGTTTCTGACCATTAAAAAAGTAACCTTCACGGAACTAAAAAGCAAAATCCCATGTGTCGTTCTTTTACCTTCGAACCCACATTCCCAAAATAATAATAATTTATTAGAAATATTAATCACATTCTGGACAAAAATAATCATGTTCCACCCTTGATTTGTTTCTCATCTTACTTCCCACTTAATTTTTATCCCTGGATATCCACCAAATTTCCTCTTCCCAAGTACTTTACCTCCATTTTCATACTTCTTACTTGCAATCAAGGGAAGATAACTAGGTCTTTTAAAATGTTCATGAGGTTTCACGTCATCAATCAGTTGAAGTTGATTATCAAAATATAATCAATCTAAGACGAGGGAGATTAACTTGATGGACTATATGGGTAGAATGGGGACAAGGGATTGACTAGAATACTGTATGGAGAGCCAGAATAAACTCAATGGGCTGAATGAGCTCCTTGTGGATTTTATGTCAGCACATGCTTACATGTTGTGTGAAGTAACTGGTCATTTATCAGAGATAAATGCAAACAACGTTGCAAATATTCAACAGGTCAACCAATATCTGCATCATGCCATGTCTCCCACATAAAAGTTGTGAATCTTTTTCAGTTAATGTTTGATTTTTCTCTACATATTGCATGTGAATGATTTGAAATAGCTTATGTTTATTGAGTTTCAGGTTCAATGTTTTGACATGTCTGCAACTTGGAACGGAACAAAGCCTGTGTGGGATAAATCACAGGTAACTGAAGGCTTCTCTCTCTCTTTCTGCCCATTTCATTGTCTTAAGATTTTCCACTGATTGTATTGTTGATTGGAAAATCTGAATCCTTCTTTGCCAAAATGAGTGATATGATCATCACATATCAATTGTTCATCTTCCAGAAAAGAATTTAATTTGCATAACACAACTTCTTACCTCCATGTAGAAGCATTTATGGTTCTGCATTATGATAATAATAAGGTCATGGGCAGAGCTTTCAAAGTCTAACTAGCTCAGCAAAAGCCAGAAGACTAAGTCCTCAATTATGCTCATAAATAATCAATATTGTCCAGGCAAATAGATCAAGTTCATTGCTTTCAATCTTTCATTTTGTTATCTCTGTGGCAGTATATCCCAAAGTGATTAATCAGATACGTATTAGGATAAAATATTTAAAGATCTTATTTGTAGGAATTTAAATGCAGGTTTTTCTATTTTGGAGATAAAGTATGGCACCAGACGTGTTAAATGTTGTAATTTCCACCATGGCCCTGAGCAAGTTAGCTTGTATGATTATGTACTTTGCACCACGTTATCTACGCAAGCAAGATGCTGCGCAAATGACTCAGCAAATTATATAGAGTGAACAGGCAGAATGTTCTTATCCCCAATGGGTCCTTCTGGGTCATAAGTTCTGGTATACATTTAAAGAGCAGCTGGACACCACTATACTCACTGCAAGCCAGGAGCTACCATTCAGGCTCTAGTAGTGGTCCCCTACATTGTTCAACACGGCCCAAATAAGCAGAAGTTCACCCCGCACTTTAGCAATACCATGTAACGGGCAGTGCCAGATGGAGTATGCTAAAGGAGTTGGATGGCGCTAGGAGACTGTACCATTAAAATCCTCTGGAAAAGAAGTAACCACAAAGGTCAGTGCCACTGGCCCTCAGCAGCACATTATGCCAAAGAAAACTGACTCATTGCATTCGGCAAAGATAAGTGTTACCATCTTCTCATTGCTAGCTCATGCCATCCCTCAGGTTAACTCTTCCATTGTACTGCTATTTCATAAATGGTCACAGCTGCAGGGCTCAGTAACAGAAAGAGGGCCTTCAGCCCATTATTTCTGTGCAAGACAAGCACTTATCTAATCTAGTCCCATTTCCCAGCACTAAGCGTGTAGCCTCATATGCTATGGCGGTTCAAGCGTTCATCTAAGTAGGTCTTAAATATTGTGATGGTTCCCACCTCTGCCACCCTTCCAGGCAGTGAGTTCAACATACACTCCTACCCTCTGGGTGAAAAATGTTTCCTCAAATCCCCTCCAAATCTCCTCTTTTCACTTTAAATGTATACCCCCGGTTATTGACCCTTCTACTAAGGTGAAGAGTTTCTTCCTATCTACCCTATCCATGTCCGTCTTAATTTTGTAAGTAAATTTCGTACCACATGTACACTGAAGGGCTCACATATACCTCCAGCTCTCAATGTACCAACCCTTCCTAGGCAATGCATTTCCTGCTCTTTGAGGATGATTCGCCACCTGGCACAGTTATGCAAGCTTAGAAACCACTCCTGCACCTACTGTCATCACACTCAATATAAAGATGGGCTAAAATCATGAAGAGAGATACTGAACATTAAACTCCTCAGTCCTGTTGAGGAGCTGGTTGGGAAACACAGGATGGAGAGACCAGGAACCTAGTAAGCAACATTCCACATTGCTCTTCTCTCATGAAGGCAAACACATTGTTCTGCTATTGCACACCTTTACAACTAATTCTTTCTCTTCTCTTGTAGGGGCATGAGGGGCACCCAGAACTCAGCACAGCATGAGAGACCAGAACCTGAACCTATCAGCACCAGCATCACCTCTGAGGATGATGCCTGTGCACCCTCAGAGAATGCACCAGCGAAGCTTTTACCAACACAGTGACAATCTGGAGAGCACGTCACTGACAAATATCGGCAGCCCATGAAGAAAGAAATAACTGGTGTGTCTGACGCCCAGATGATTGCCAGAGACAAGGCACCCAGCCAGCCCCATACAGAGGATGTGCCTCTGCACCGAGCTTTAGTGTCACACTCAAACTTCACAGACAGAGATTATCAGGCAAAGATGATCACTGGATGGTATGAGGTACACTTTTAAAATCGGTTGAAACAAATTAAACCAAATTGAATAAAATTGAAGGGTAACAGCCCCTTATAAGGAGCACCATAACAAAAATCAAATGTTTGAGTTAAACTTAACAAAATTTAAATTAAAATGTCATTTTGAGTGGAGTTAATGCATCCCAGCCCTTGTGGTACCTACTGGCCACAGAAGGCCTCAAGCATCCTGGTGGACACCACATTCTCCTCTCCAGTTGAGGTAAGTAGTCATGCTGCTTAAGTGGTAAGTGAAGGCAGATGCTTAACATTGAATAATCACTGATTATTCACATTGCCCTTCAGTTGGCCACACATTCCAGCCATCAAGTCCAGACCCCTCTTCCAGAAAACATCTTACTTCTCCGTTTGATTGCAGCCTTGATAGAATCAAAAGCACAGTTAATTTTCTGATCAATTGGTGAGCCTGAGAATTTGCTTTCATAGAGTTATAGAATCATAGATTCATATGGCACGGAAGTAGACCCTTCGGTGTAACTCGTCTGCATTGACCAGACATCCCTGTCGGACTTAGTCCCATTTATCAGCTTTGGGCCCATATGCCTCTAAACCCTTCCTATTCATATACCCATCCAAATGCCTTTTAAATGTTATATCTACCCACGTCCACCACTTCCTTTGGCAGCTTGCTCCACACTTGCACCA